TTTTAAAGCTTCAGAATTTTGATGTTGCATCTCCAATTCCTCCGGGTGTTCTTAATGTTTTATTTTTTAACAAGAATGACCTGTTCTTCATTTACTACACACTTTTGAAATTGCCTGTCAGTATATTTGGGGGATATTGCTGAGGTTTTCTGCGTACCACTTGAAGCTTTGTCACTATTTTCACAAGCTAATGGGGAGGGAAGGAAGGAGAGTTGCTGACTTGGGTCTTATCTTGCATTACTTATTTGAGATAAACTTCTGTAGGAGCTTATCCTGAATAAGATCTAAAGGATCAGGCCTTCTGTCAGAACTTAGCAATGAATTCTCCAATAATGAATGCATCTAGATTCCTTCGGTAGACAAGGTTCTTTGGGTGAATCTGATACCTTTTATTAAACCAACTTGAATAGTTGGAAAATACTTATTAAGCAAGCTTTCGGGTTCAAAAACCCTTCATCAGGCTAAGGAAGTTTCTGCAGTTGGTGTCGTTCTCTTCTATGGGATTATCTCTTCTGGGTCATACTTTTAGACAATAGTTCTTGGGATGAGCATTGCAAGGTGGAGAGAAGGGATAATTCCCTTCTAACTTGTACAGTTTTAGTTCTAGGCAAAATATTTTAAGTAAACAAATAAGTTCAAGTATACAATAATTTAGATTTTTTTTTAAATCCCTTAAACTGATTTCAAAGCAGGCACTGCAAAAGCTCCTGTTCCTTTAGTGCATAAGCGCCTGTCATCCCCTCTGCAAAGCATTTTCAGTACTGTAAAAGTTTGAAACTCCAGTCTGTTTTCCCCACTTCACTTTATAACCTGTTTTCAAGCTTTCACATCAGTGAGATTTTTAGCATTTCTCACTGCAAACTTGAGTAATCTTTGATTTGCTCCCCTAACACACCAGAGTCTCAATCCTCACTGGCTTCTCCAGGTGCTGTTAGAATTCAAATAGTAACAACCCTGGGTGCCAAGAGCAGAAAATTGTCATTGGAAAAATGTTTTAAAGTTTTGTTTGCAAATCCTGGCATATGACAATTCATTGAAGGTTCATAGGTAATCTCCCTATAGGATTACTTTTTATAAACTATCTGCTTTTTTAGTAGCAGAGCATCTATACAAAGTTAATTCTTTGTAAAAGTATCTTTCCTTGCTGTGCTTTAAAGATATTAACTCTTAAAACACCTGTTCTTTTGCTAAGAAACTTGTATCCTTTATTTACCCCATATCTTCTTCATTTCCAAAAGTAATTTAAATTGCTGAATACTTCTGTTAGTTGGAGCTAAAGTTAGATGTGTTGACAGTAAATTCTTTATAGTTGGTATAAATGTATTTTATAATAATATATCATTAATAAGATTTGGGATTTTTATGTTTTCTTAAATCTTACAAAATTTTTGGGGTGTTACAGCATCTAATGTTTGCAGGTTAAAAAACAAATCTCATTCCTTGGTCAGAGTTCTTCTTCCTAAAATACAAGAAATGCCAGTGTTCTCTCTTCATATAATATTCAGTGATATATCATGTGATAAGGTGGAGTGTGTGATTGGAACTGTTGTATGAAAGTTCACATTGTTGCAATAATTCATAGCACTCTGTAGAATGGGAGTCTGCTATACTCTGTACAGAACTATATAGCTAAAATGTGTAAAAAGATTAGTAGTTGTAAATTACTGTGACAGTGAGCATGTCCACACCCCCTAAGCACCCCCCTAAGGTGCTGTTGCTGCAACGCAGTCATTTAGTACTTCCTTTTGGGAGTACTAAATGACAGCTCAACATGATTATTTTGAGCCAGTATGTCACCATAGCAATGCGCTATACTGAAGGAGCACGTTGCTACAACAGTATAGCGGCAGCATCATGATTTTTGCCCATGGACGCTACATCGCTGTGGCACATTGCTATGGTGTTGTAGCATCATGTGTAGATGTGCTCAGTGGAAAGCACTGGACAGGTTTTCCTCACTTTTAAGTGGGTTCTGTATATGTGACTTCACTCTTATGTGATTGCCTTTTTTGTACCCAAAATTCGTTATATGCCAGGTAAATTCACTCTTACGTGATCTGCAGTAGGTAAGTTTGTGGGGGGAGGGGAAAGGGCTGTGGGGGCAGATCAGGGCCCCAGTGGTGAGGGAAGGAGCACGGGGCACAGGCAGGAGCAGGTACTGCAGTGACTGGGGCCTCAATCTGCTCGCTTGCCGGTGGTGAGGGAGGGAGTGGAGCTGGAGCTGGGCCAGGCATTGCATAGCTGGGCTAGGGGGTGCAGCTTCTGCTACTACAGGCTGTCACTGTGGGCTGGGGCCAGGCCCCAGCTCCACTTCTGCCCTCACCATGGTAGGGGGAGGGGGCAGATTGAGGCCCTATTTACCCCAGCCCCTGGACCAGGCTCTTCCCAGTGGGGGAAGTTGGGCTGCACTGCACTCTGATTGGGTGGCAGTGATGGGGGGGGCAATGACAAATTTTGGGGTGGTGTAGCCCAAAATTGGGGGAGGGGGGACTGCAGCCACCTCAGAGTTCACCATAGCCCACCCCCCCTGCTGGGAAGAGTGTGGCATGGCCCCCAGCCCACAACTGCAGCCTGTAGCAGCAGGAGCTGTGACCTCCATCCCATGCCCTGCCCTGGCTCTGCAGCACTTGCCTCTGCTCCAGTCCCAACTGCACTCCCTACTTCACCACCAGTGGGGGGGGCAGATCGAGGCCCCACTCACCTCAGCCTCCAAGGTTATGCTCTTTCTGGCGGGGGGATTGGGCCACACTGTGCTCATGGCGGCTGGGTGCAGTGCTGGGAGGGGGCTTGGGAGGGCTATGGCAAATTTTGGGGTGGCAGTAGTCCCTCTGCTGGTGCCACCACTGCCTGCCCTGAGTATAGCATGGCCCAGCCGCCTGCCAGGAAGAGCCCAGCACCACTTTGGCCGTATGTCAAGTATTTCAGTCACTTGCAGTCCTGTAGGACACTGCCTGCTGGCTGACTAGGGTGAGACCGTTTCTAATTGGAGATCTACACTCCCACATTTTTCCTGCCATGACTTGATGTTAAAGGAGTTTGTTCACTACCTGTACGTGTAGTCCCATTAGTAGTCTCACCGTCGTCCAACGAAGGTCCTACGTTTCTGAGGGCTCCACCACCCCTACACCCTCTTCCGTTCTGATCAGCCAGTTGGTCTTTCAACATGACCTCGGTTCCAATCAAAAAAAAAAAAAACAACAACAACCCAGGAAAATAAGAAAACAAAACAGGCAGTCCTGGCCTGGGTTATTGTTCCGGCTGCTTTTAGCCAAGAACAAACCAAATTGACTTTCGTGAGGTCAGTCCCTCTTTTCTGCCCCTTTCCCCTCTTTGGTGGCTCTCTCTGAGCCTCTTATTGAGGTTGCCACGATTCCCTTTAGCACATTAGGTCCATCTGTGACACCATTTTTGGCATGTGCCACTTTTACATGCTTTACGGTACCACAAAATCTATCGTGCCCCTGTATTAGGGATATTACGGTACAAAACTCTGCTGGGCTCCACCAGCTCCCCCCGTGGAAACAAACAGTTCTGCGCCCTGCTGGGTCAGCAGTCTTTGCTCTAAGTTCCCTCAGTGGGGCTTACTCTCTGCAAGAGTCTCCTACCGACTCCCCACGTCACTCTCAGGGTTCCCTGCAGCGTGTGTCAGCTCACTCCTCCTCCTCCTCCTCCTCCTCCTTCCCGTTCTACACTCCCCCCTCTTGCCTGTTCCGGGCTCTTCTTTATACTGGCGTTGGAGCTCCCTGTCCCTCCCCTCCAGAAACACCTGGGTAAGGGAGATTTCTACTGGGCTCTTTAGGGCTGTGGACCTAGGGTCACTGAGCCTTTGTTTAGCCCCTGTGCTTTGGAGCCCTGGGACTCTTTCTCACACCATAGCAGACTTACCTGCTACTGATGCAGTCAAGGTCTTGGAACATATCCATATCTGTTATCTTGTAAAGTGGGTTCCCTTTATGCAAAATTGAGTTATACACAGTTTTTCAGGAATGCATCTACCGCATAAAGCGAGGGAAACCTGTACACATGAAGCAACGGTTACTGCTAGAAGAGATGTAGGGCCTGTCAGAGGAATGGGAATGCTTCCCAATTTTCCTTGAATTCAGTGGAAATTTCAGGTGTTCACCTCTCATAAGTAGGTCCAAAGTTAGCAAATTGGCACCCTTGCCAGTAGTCATCCAGACTGACCATTTCTGTAACTGAAATGTTTACAGCAAATAGCGTCTAATGTTTTCGGCTAGGGACAGAAATTGCGCACAAACTGGCATAAGTGATCAGAAACTGGTTCAAATCTGTAACGCAGCAGACATTCAGTGCACATAAGCCACTTACAAAATGTCTGAAACCGATTTAAGATGAACCTGGATGGATGTAGTATCAGACTTAGCTGATTTAGGTTAAATCAGTTTATTGAGCTTGTCCCACATTCCCTCCCTTTCACGCTGCCTGCTCCAGCTGAGCTGGCAGGTGTGCTCTAGCACCCCCTGGCTTCTGGTGTGGGCCACTGCAAGCAAGTGGCTGCATTTCCAGAATCAAAAATTAATGTCTGTTCACTTGCTTATCAGTTCAATCTACACAGTTTAAACTAATTTGGGAAGATTGAATCAATTCAGCCTTGGGCTTTTTGACTGTCTGTACTTAGCCTTAATGATGCCATAAATATGCCATGAATTGTCTTGCTACCTTATATCTCCCAGTTTTGCCATCACTTTAATGAGTCTTCGGAGTGAATCGGAAGTGTTTTTTACAGTGAGCCATTTAGTTTGGATGAAAACTGATATTTAAAAGGAGCCAGTGCAAGGTATAAACTAACCCTGCTACTCTGGCAGTACACATTTCCTAGTGCAGAGATCGTTATTTTTGGAATAAGGGAAGCCATCCCACTGTCACTTAAGTGGTTAATAACCAAATATAATAATTGTGGTTAATTTAGGGGAAATATTTATACTCCATAAATAAACATTTTAGCATATCCTGAGTAATTGCTGTTTTTATGCTTTTAGACCATGAATATACTGGTTCCCTTCATGTTTAAATATGCAGTAGACAACCTCAACCAGATGTCTGGAAACATTCTGAACCTAAATGATGCATCAAATACAGTTGCAACCATGGCAACAGCTGTTCTGATTGGCTGTAAGTGAGATTCTTTAATCTGTCAACAGGTGTTTAACTTTTTTCACTAAGGGTTTGGAAGATTGTAGCTCCTGACTTTATTTTTCCTCTGCTAAGCATTTTGTACAGCCGTTTTTGTTATTTTTCCTAGTCTGTATTGATTTTCATTACTAACATTCTGTGAATTAAATTCTCTTGTCCCACTTGAGGAATAAAATGACGCATATAGAAATAATCTCCAGTAATAAATTATCCTATAGACTTTACTCACTTCTGGATATGTAATCGAGTCTCAAGTAAAAATTGAATTAACATTTTTAAATAAAAGATGTACGTGAGGTCCGTGTAGCAGTGAAGTATAAATTATCCTAAGAAGAAGAAAAATGTTATAAATATGACAGAATAAGGTTTTACTCTGTATTTATGCATCAAGATTTTTTTTTTTTTTTTGGAAGTGAGAGAAATAACTTTTTAATTTCTTTTAAATCCCTTTTTAGATGGTATTTCAAGAGTTGGGGCTGCCTTATTTAATGAAGCTCGAAATGCAGTATTTGGAAAAGTAGCCCAAAATTCTATCAGAAGGATTGCAAAGAATGTCTTTCTCCATCTGCATAACCTGGATTTGGGGTTCCACCTAAACAGGCAAACAGGAGCTCTTTCAAAAGCTATTGACAGAGGAACAAGGGGCATCAGTTTTGTTCTGAGTGCTTTAGTATTTAATCTGGGACCCACCATGTTTGAAGTGGTGCTTGTCAGTGGAATTTTGGTAAGTTATTTTTACAGAATCAGAATGCATGAATAATAAAGAATTGGGAAGAATGATGAGTTTCTTGCAACAAAGCTTGTTCTGTATTTGCAGATTGGTGTCAGTGAAAGCAAATACACTCCGAATTTCAACTTGTGCCTGCTCAAACTTTTTAAAAGCTTTTAAATAACTTCAGGTACAAAACGTAGCTTCAACATTTAGTTTTTACAATCATGTTTATATTACGAGTTTCAAATTTTATTTTCTCTCTCCTGCTTTATGGGGGAAAAGCTAAGACAGAAGAGTAAAGCTGCTTATTTAAAGTGATATCAGATATATAAAATTGAAGAAGGAGAAGAAACTAGGCAAATACAGGGAAATAGTCTCTACAACTTTTTGAATGAAATTAGTGTTTTATAGTTTTAAGTTGTAAAAACAATTTGTGGAGTATTTCCACATGAATATTGTATTGTTTGTTTTGTTTTGTTTTTTTGTTCCTGGCTTTTTAATGAACTATACCCCTTTACCACATTTAATTTCACTAAAATTTTAAATTGAAAGTAATCTGAAAAGCAAGCTTCTTCAGAGCTGCGCATTTTTTAGATTTTCTTTTAGCAACCTTTTTTAGTAAATTTAAGTTTACCATCTTAGAAGGTTAAGGATGTGTGTTGGTAATTCGTGTTAACAATTAAAATGTAAGTGTGCTTGTGTATCTCAGAGGTAGAACTAGATAAAATTAAAAGGGAGGAAGTTTGTTTAGCTATCTCCTTCAATGATATTTTCATTGCCCCTTATTTTGGATTATCACATGAATATTTGATTATTCTTCTTTTCTTAACAATATTCTTGTAACTGGACCATATTTACTTGAATCTAAGATAGGGTCTGTGTGTCCACCCCCCGCTGTCTTAGATTCAATTACAAACAGGGTATGGAGGGGCAGTGACTAACTGTTAGTCTGGGGTTTCCAAGCCTGCCTGTTGCTCTGCCACTTCCTTTCCTCCCCATTGCCACCTACCCCTTCAGCTTTCTGGTTCCCACCTGCCTCTTTGCTCCCTATCACCGTTTACCTTCCCCATGCAGCACTGGCTCCTGCTGGGGCCCTGCTCCGGCTGGGGGCAGAAAGCACAGAGCATGTGGTGCCCCTGGCTCCAGCCCACCTGTCCACTGGCAGCTTTGGCCCCAGCTTTGGGATCAGGGATGAAACTGCCACTGTACAGCAACTGCTGCATGGCTGGGCTGGGGCCAGAGGCAACACATGCTCTGCACTCCATGGTCCTGGCTGAAGCAGGACCCCAACAGGAGCCAGAGCAGCAAAAGAAACATAAGTAGGGGAGGGGAGCTATAGGGAGGAGTAGCACGGGGGCAGGTGAGGAGGGGAAGGACAGGTGTGAAGGGATCTGGGCACCATTAGGAGAGGCAGGCATCAGGGGGCACAGACCTGCCCAGGGCATGTAAGAGGGAGGGCAAGTGTCAGTGGGAGGCAAGCAGGGGACACGTCAGAGGGGTGCAATTGGAGGGGCAGATGGCAGGCAGTCCAGGCACCACAGGGAGAGGCAAGTGGTGGGGACAGACCTGTCCTCCTGCTGTTGCTAACCCTGCTGCACTAGTGGTGTAGAGAACAAATTTAAGACAACCTTCCAATAATTAGCTTATAGACTTGGAAAATTACAATATTTATATAGTTTCCATTTCTTGAATGCAATTTTGGGGCTAGTCTTAAATTTATTTGTCTTGGATTTGGGTAAATCCACTAAGTGGCAAACTTCTCTTATGGCTATCATAATTGTTTATATTCATCTTGCTTATCACCCCAGCCTTGATAGCCTCATCTGTCTGCTTCTGTCAGTCTTCTATTCTACTTTTCTTATGCTGTTCACCAAAGAAGCACTGTGGGGAAGTAGTGATTTTTAGTTGGTTTGTAAGGACATTGCAATCCCTATTCATATCCTTCTTTATGGCTGTCCTGTCCTCCCAAGATCTCTGCAAGCAAAGCCATTTTATTTACTTTTAATGCATAAGAAGTTTTTGGATGCCCTTCTTCACTCATCAGAGTGCATTAGCTCTTGTTGAGTTATTTTTCTGTTACCACTCTTTCTTTTGCCAGTCATCATTACTGCCCATTGCTGTGCTTAGATTTATGCCTGTTATTGATTTATAAACTGTTCAGGGTAGGGACTCGCTCACTCTGTCACTGTCTCTCTCATACCCTAGTGTTAAAATTTTGAAATAATACTGTTCTAATTTTTGTTGGGTTTTTTTTTTTCCCTTTCAGTATTATAAATGTGGTGCAGAGTTTGCATTGGTAACTCTGGGAACACTAGGAGCTTACATAGCATTCACAATAGGAATTACACAGTGGAGGTAAGGTGCTACCTACAATTGTTCAGGTTTCATGGATTAATTATTCTTGTCACCTCAACCAGTACTTTTTGACTATGCAAGCCTTTGTTTTACAGGACTAAATTTAGAATAGAAATGAACAAAGCTGACAATGATGCAGGCAATGCTGCAATTGACTCGCTATTGAACTATGAAACTGTGAAGGTAAGGTCCTTTTTTCCTGCTGGTTTACATCATGATAAAGATTTAATTATCAATTTAAATCCCTGTATACTCAGTGAATTTAGGGCAGGTCCATTTGTTTGTCTGTATGACTTAAATGTTTAAACCGATCTTAAGCAACTCAATGTAGGGTTTTTTTCTGTTTGCTTTATTCTTACAGTATCATCTGCTTCTTGATATCCCAGCTCCACTTTACTTTTTTATTTGCAGTCAAAACAGTATCCTGCTTATGAATGGTAAAATCTACATGGTTTGAAATGCCTACAGTTTTGAGAGCTATTTGCGTATTGCAGCTTGGAGACCCAAGCTCATTTCTCAACTGATGAAAGTAAAAGGGTGGTTTGAGCAGTGCTACAGTGAAGCAGAGAACTGAAATCCTATGTGGCAACCCATTCGGATCAATATGATATAAAGCCTAAACCTCAAAACCAATAATCTGGGCTAAATTGGGTGGTGTGAAAAATCATTTTCAGTGAAATACCTGCTTACCAGTGACAAGTAGGAAGCTTTACCTGGTAAGCACAGGGACCTGTGCCATCAAGTTCTGCAGAAGTTTAGCAGGAAAAAAATTACAATTTTGATTGAAAAAATTTCTTCTGGCATAAGCTAATGCAGGACTGTTTTTCTGATCTGGTAGCTAGGTGCTTCTAATTTTCCTGGTGTACTTTCTAGCAGTTCACATCAAGAGCAGCCTGAAGAAACAAGCCTTGATATTTATTAGACACAACTAGCAAAAGCAATAGAAAAGGCAAATGCCTGGTTTCCTGCAGAGTGGTTTGGTAGGGATCCCCATACCCTCTGTTTCCCCACAGCTGCAGGTGTTCTAGCCATAGTCTCCAGGGTGATGCTCTGGGCTCTTTTTTGGCTGAGCCTCATTATTTGTGTCTCACAAATCAGAATCTTATAATTAGTATAAAACCCCCCACTGAGTCTAGTGTATTATGGAATTCACTGCTTTCTACCTTTATTCACTTTATAGTATTTCAATAATGAAAGATATGAAGCCCAGCAATATGATGGATTTTTGAAGACCTATGAAAATGCCTCACTGAAGACTACCTCTACCTTAGCTCTCCTGAATTTTGGTCAGAACACTATATTCAGCATTGGCTTAACAGCCATCATGGTGCTTGCTAGCCAGGGAATTGTTGCAGGTAATTGATCTCATTCTGAACTAAATACAGACACTAGTTTGCCTGACCATTTGTAACAAAACATACAGTTTAGCTGAATATTATCACCTAAGAAACACCTTTCTTTGGGGAGCTGGTTTTTGGTTCTAGTTTTGTTTGCTGGAGGAAAAAAAAATCACATTTTTTAAGGTTGCTTACCCTGCGCTGTCTTAGTGCACAGCCAAACAAACTTAACAGTATAAAAATGTAGACATGGAAAAACACAAGAATGATACTATTCTATACGTAATACTGGACTGCAAGCATTTTGTATTGTTGCTTTAATTGCTTCGTTTCATCCTTCTCTTGGGTTTTGATTTTTGACAAAATAATAGTGATTTTTACTTCTTTTTATACCATTTGTTTTTATATTTTATTGGATTGGCTGATACCTATCATGGTTTATTACCAGCATTTGTCTGGTCATTTCTTACCACTGTATCTACAGTTGGAGGGGGGCAGCAACAGTAGGCATAGGAGACATTTCTAAAACCAGTTAGCGAGCAGTAAATATTCAACTAAAATCTGGCAAGTAGACAGAAAAAGATGTGTTGTCTTGTGTACTTGTATATGGTAGGGACCCTCCTGCTGGATTATCTTGCACTTACGCACCTGTGCAGGTTGTGTCCTTTAATTATATCCACATTTGTTTTTTGTAACTTATCCTATACTTCAGTGCTTTATTGTACCTAGTTTGATACTATGCTAGTGGTGAAACGCCATCATTTGTATTGGAAGACTTCCTAATCTAATAGACTTCTGCTAAAGCTTTTGTTTAATTTTCCTTCACTGACTTGAATCCCTTAACCCTAAACTACCTCACTAATTGTCACTTATCTATGGGATAGATCAGAATAACTTTCAAAGGCCTGGAGATTAAAACAGCATCAAAATGGTCCTGTTTTAAATAAACAAAACTAGAATGAAGCGGCAAAGAGCAATCGCAGAATTGCCTTTAAGTGACAGCTATGGGTTTCCTTTGGACCAAGTGTGTCATAGCCGCCTTTTGCCATGTTGAGTTTACTGTTATTTCTTACCCACGCTTCTAAGGCCCTTTTGGATGCTTTCATTTCTTTCCTTTCACAGGGTTGGAGCACTTTCTGATCTGGTATTTCCTGTGACATTGATAATATGTGCTTGCCTCTGTTTTCAGGCAGTAAATCATCTTTATCAGTCTGCACAGGTGATCTGCCTGGCACCTCAGTGGACAGATTCTTATTCTCCAAGAATTATTCTTTCATGGTGTTAAAGGATAGTCTCCTGTTTAAAAAGTGAAGTCAAGCCTAACCTTTGCTTTCCAACACCAAGAGCCTTAATATTTACATAGGCCACACTTAAGATACTTCATTCAGCAAATTCTTTCTCTCTTCTCCCTTCCCCTCTTGTTTTAAGGGAATTTGACAGTTGGGGATCTAGTAATGGTGAATGGACTGTTATTTCAGCTTTCTCTACCCCTTAACTTTTTGGGGACAGTGTACAGAGAGACAAGGCAAGCGCTCATAGACATGAATACCTTGTTTACACTGCTCAGTGTAGACACAAGAATAAAAGTAAGTGATTTAAAAAGTACTTTTTTAAATTTACCAAATACAGTTATTTTCTGGTAATATTCTCACTTTATCTTCTCATACTTTTTGGAGTCAGTTTTTCTTGTACAAGGAGATGCTCTGTTCCTGCTTCTTGTTCAGTGTATTTAACGCAGTAGTGCCTGTTTTTATCCTTCAGGTCCTTTTTAGCATAAGAAAATGTTAATCCACAGAGTTGCATTTACTTTTTTAGGCATTTTAGTTGAATATCTACTTGTAATTCATGATGCAGAATTTATTATGAAAATAAGCTCCCTAGAAGCTGAATGGTACAGTAGAATTTTTTTACCTTGCTCACAGGAGGAATAAATCGCCTCTTTGTGTCTGAAAAAGATAATTAATTCTTAATTTGATCAAGCTAGTTTGCCTTCTTTCTTTTTGGGGGGAGGAGGAACACAATAAATTCTGTTGAGCTTGTTAAGTTGTTTTAGAGTATGTTCCAGGCAGTGTGTAAAGAGGCACACTTTTTTTTTTTTTTTTAATAGGACAAAGAACTGGCTCGACCCCTACAGATCACACCACAGACTGCTACCATTGCCTTTGATAACGTGCATTTTGAATATGTGGAGGGGCACAAAGTCCTTAATGGCGTGTCTTTTGAAATCCCTGCAGGAAAGAAAGTGGCACTTGTAGGAGGTAGTGGGTCAGGGTGGGTAAATGTACTGTGCACATTCCGTATCACTGTCTGGATTTTTTTTAAGCTTTATTTATTAACAAATGCAATTTATTTCATAACAAATTTAACATTTAAAGATGCATCGAATCCCCTATATACATAAAGACAAATATTTATCTTCTGTCCCATAACCCAAGTCAGTGTCTGTAGAGAAGTCTTGGTCTTATGTTCTTTTCTTCTTTTCTTCGGTCACTGACAGTTCCTTGATGTTTCAGTCAATGTTAACCTTTTGTGTTTTTTCATCTCTATATGTAACCTGCTTCATAATTTGCCCTGTTATTCCTCAGAACTCCACACAATACAAAGCTCACTTTTCTACTTATCTCTGCATTTTAGATTTCAAATTCGCTACAAATTTGTTCTTAACTGTTAGCTCATAGAACTTTATGCTCTCGTTCAGTATTCAAAAAAAATTCTCAAATTTTCTGGTTTGGAGGCCAGTGAAATTGCTTTTTCAGCAGATTCTGAGAACTCCCACCAAATTTTTAAGTAAGCACCTCTTTTTTTCTTTCTTCCCCAAATAACATTGGCTTGGCAGGACATTTTTTCCATTACTAAAACTTCCCAAACTATTTCAAACCACTGGGTAATTTTTGGATTGTCACTGTTTTCTTCCAGGCTTTTGTAACTGATTTTTACAGATACTGGAAGATGAGTGATCAATTCCCTATGACTTCTATATGTTATACAGTTCTCAGGAAAGTTCAGTAAGAAGAGCTGGGGCTTATCTGATAGTTGGAATTCTGTTGTTTCCCTTACTATGTCTCCAACCTTTTTCCAGAGCAGTTTGATTCTGGGACGTATACATCCTATATGGTAGAATCCTCACAAATGACTGCACTCCCTCGAATGCTTGTCTGTTCCTGCACCAGAAATGCATTTAATTTTAAGTGGGGTGAGATATCATTGATATAGCCTTTTAAAAATATTTTTGACTTGTGCAGATGGATGTGTAAAATCCATTCTTCTAGATGGTCTCCCATTCTTTATCACTAATTTCTGATCTAATGTCACTAATTTCTGATCTAATGTCAATAGCACATAGTGTTACAAACAGTGGTTTTTTTCCTCCTATATGGCTATTTAAAATTGCTTTCTATAACACAGACTGTATGACCAATATTTTTCTCAACTTCTGTCAAATTTCTATTGAGGTTAACCTTTATTTGGGGATGTGCTGGAATTTTTTTTAAAATCCCAATTTTTATTCTTTTTTTTTAATTACTTTTTCCTGTGAAGACATTATATTCATCTGAAACTTGTAAACGTTAAAATAAGAATTTAACCTTTGTTTTCAACTCTCTCCATTTTAGGAAAAGCACAATAGTGAGGCTGTTGTTTCGCTTCTATGAGCCGCAGAAAGGAAATATTTATGTTGCTGGTCAGAATATTAAAGATGTCAGTTTGGAAAGCCTTAGGAAAGCTATAGGAGTTGTGCCTCAGGTAAAATGTCTTAATACACTTAAAAGTTTTGTTATCCTGATAATATGGTTTGAATGAAAGTCCAGCACAGTGATATTATCAGACTTCGTATGAAAGCCACTGTACTTCCTTATTTCAGGAAATATAACTTTTGTATCTGAAACATCAAGTAGAGCTCAGATTCCTGGGAGGATATCTTGATTGCTCTTGGAGATGAAGGGTTTCTCATGCAATACCTTATTCTAAAGCCATTTCCAGGCAGCAGAATTAGGTCATGTGTTATAAATATTTTTAATCAAAATAAGTGATTAAAAAATATATAAAAGCTGTTCAAAGTGTATACAGTATCTCTTTGTACTTTCCTTGAAATATTATTGCCTGAAAGCCTGGTGGCAGAATGTTTGGCAATCATTTTCTATCTCTATGCTCAACCTGTGAAGTATCAATCCTGGTTTCATGTTTACACTTCCCAATTGTAGGATGCAGTTCTCTTTCATAATACCATCTACTACAATCTCTTATATGGCAATATTGATGCGTCAGCAGAGGAGGTGTATGAAGTAGCAAAGTTGGCAGGGATCCACGATGCTATCCTCCGAATGCCCAATGGCTACAACACACAAGTTGGTGAACGAGGACTCAAGCTCTCAGGTGGGTTCATAAATGTCACTCATTCTTTTTATCACTTCTGCTAGATTCAGGCTGAATGTATAGTTTACATGTCATCTTTCATTGTCACAACATGAAATACTAAGCCAGCTTTGTCATGTATTTTAATGCACTTAATTTTTTAATTCTTTTTCTTTAAGTAGAAATGATATGAACATTTGTTCTTGAGATGCTTGTTAAAAGAAAATAAGTTATAAAGAAAAAGTCTTTGCCATACTGGTTAGCCTAACAGTATAACATTTCTTAAAGTAAGAAGTCCTTCCCATCTTGAATGGAAAGCTGAGTGGTGAACTTGAGCTTCTTGTATATTTCATTTTAAAGTTTAAGTTGATAAGCTTAAAATGGGTACGTCTAAGCCAAGGAAGGAAAGATTTTTTTTCCCTCCCTTTTTTTCACAAAGTGTGCGTTTAACCTCCCTTTTTAATCTAATAGACTCTAATATAAATGTGTGACTCACTTGCTGGAAAGGTTGCAGAAGCAAGTGGATTTTGAAGAGTAGCTGCATGGTGTGAAAGCTGTGTTCGTAAAAGTGATTCTCAACCTTTTTTTAGCATCAAGGAACAGCTCTGTGGCATTTGAATTTGGCAACGCCCAGGTTGAGAAGAATAGTTGTGCTGCCTCAGTTTACCTCAGTGCTTCACAAGGACAGGAGAATAGTAGTTCTTATCTCTCAGGCCTTTAGACTTCCTGGACTGAGCTTTTGTGAAAGTTGATGAAACCTTTACACCGGGGTTCTCAAACTTTGTGATATTGTGACCCCGAGTGCTGGATAGCGGCGTTGGGGGATGGGGAGCTCGCATGCAGCAACCGCTGCTGCCATCCACCACTCCATCACCGCTTCCCTGCACCGTGGCACGTACCCCCTGGGAAGTTTATGGTCCCTTTTTAAGTTGCTCACAACCCCCCGGGGGGGTCGCAACCCACAGTTTGAGAACCCCTGCTTTACACAGTTCTTTTTTTTTTTACTGTCACTATGACTATCACACTGACATGCAAAGCACAAGGTATTGAGGGGGAAAAAAAACGCATTAAAAATCAGGATGAAATATGATGTTCTTCTGACTTCCTTTTGTCTAGGCTTTTGGTGTCAAACCAAAAAAAAGGTCTAAAATTTACTACTTATTAAATTATGGTCTGAATTCCCTAGATTATTAGCAAAGCAGTTAAGATGCATTTAACACTGGCATGAATAGCAGATTTAGCCATGTAAAATGTATCTTGATTGTATGTAGGCCATGGTATGAGGAGCTTAGTCCAGTACTTTTCAGAAGTGTCCACTAATTTGTGACATCTGAAATTGTACATCACGTTGACTTCGGATGAAACTATGTAGGCTGAGTACCTCTGAACATTGGGTGCTGTCTGTCTGAAACGTAAAACCCACAAAGAGAAGTGCAAAAAGCAGAGGGGATTCTGCAGTTTTAATTAGAGGTGCACCAATACATCAGTCCCATATCGGATCAGCACCAGTAAGAGGAAAGTTGAAAGCATCAGCAATCGGCTTTTTTTGTCTCATGTAGCCAAGTAATGTGGACAATAAGTGCCGCATTCATGCATGCAGCTGGCCAGGAGTGCAGCCCGGCAGTGTGGAGTGCAGCCAGGTCCAGTTGTGGGTGAGGAGCGGATCGAGCCCTCACTGTTAGAGGGACGGGGGCTGGGGCAGATGCTGCCCAGCCAAGGTGGGGTGGGACATGGGATGGAGCCAGGGAGGGGGGGGCATCACATCGCAGCACACAAGAGGGGGCATGTGCCCCAAGATCTGTGCGTGGGGCAGATCAGGCTGCCGCTGCAGGCTGGGGCCAGGCCTGTGCTGGGCTCTTCCCAGTGCGGGGGGGTTCTGGGCTGAATTTGCACTCGAGGAGGGCAGCAGCAGTGCTGGGAGGGGGTGTTGGGGGGGGCTTCAGCCACCCCAAAATTCATTGTAACCCCCCTCCCAGTGCCGCTGCCACCCACCCTAAACACAGCCTGGCCCAGCCTCCCTCACCCCCCACTGGAAAGAGCCCGGCGTAGCCCCAGCCTCAGTCCACAGCAGCAGCCCACCCCAACCCCTGCGCGCATCCCAGGGCACGTGCCCTCCCAGGGTGCATGCAGTGGTGAGAGCTGCTCCCACCCCCTGTTCCCCCCAGACAAGCCACAACTCTGTCCCATGCTCTGCTCCACCCTGGCTGAGCAGCATATGCCCCAGCACCAGTCCCACTCCCTTCCTCTAACTGTGGGGGCCGTGAGCTGCTCCCCCAAGCCCATACCCTCCCCCCACAACAGACTTACCACCTGGACTCTGCTCTCCACACTGCAGGGCTGCATATCAAAATCGGATTGATATTGGCCAATATTGCTCATTAAAAATCGGCCATCGGTATCAGCCCCCAAAATCTCAATTGGTGCACCCCTGGTTTTAGTATCTTAAATTCCCTTTGTATCTTGACAGATATAAAGGTAGACCTCTTTACAACTGAAAATGCTATATCCTGTTTTACTTTAATGGCCTTGCATTTATCTACAAATGTAGACAAAAATAGCTGGTTTTACTCTCTGGCTTCATTGGAGTGCTGTAGAAGTAATGATTTCGAAGCCTCATGCTTTCTTCTGGATAGTGAACTAAATAGAAGCCAGTCACTCATTCCCCGCATCCTCGCTTTCATTTATTTATGAGCCTCAGACAGTAAGTTCACTCATGTAATTTAGGGAGCCAGAACTACATGCAGTCCTTTCCACTTGAGGTTTTTTTTTCCAAGGCATCCTTGTTCATGGGAAAACTAATGGGGAGAAGCAGGGAGGACTTTATGTATTTCAGTGACATCTTTGAAATCCAGATATTTCACTTTCCTAATGGAAGAAGTGGGGTATTGGGTATCATTGTTCATAAAGGTTGGTTCAGGAAAAGAATGGCTGGATCCCCCTACTGCTGATACTAAAAATAAACCTGGTTGGGGGGTGGATAAAAACAGTGGATTGCCAGAAACGCTGGTCTACCAGATGGCAAATGTGGCAGAACTTTTCATTGGAAATAGTTTTGCGCCCTCATACGTTTTAAACTTTAACCTTGTTAAGGCAGGGCAAATGATTTTTTAAACTGCAAATAATGAACAGGGTCTTAAAATTACAGAAAATTAGGGTTGAAGGGACCTCAGGAGGTCTAGTTCAACCCCTTGCTCAAAGCAAGGCCATCCCCAGTTAGATTATCCCAGCCAAGGCTTCGTCTAGCCTGGTCTTATAAACCTCCAAGGATAGAGATTCCACCACATTTTTGGGTAACCTGTTCCAGTGTTTTACCACCTTCCTGGTAAGAGAGGTTTTCTTAATATCTAACCTAAACTCCCCTTGCTGCAACTTGAGACCATTGTTCCATGTTATGTCATCTAGCTCCATCTTCTGTATTACCACTCTTCCAAATAGTTGAAGACTCTTATTAAGTCCCCCCTCAATCTCTTCTATAGGCTAAATAAGCCCAGTTCCCTCAGCGTCTAGTTGCCTGAATGGGGGAGGTAACTAGGTTGCCTCCCCCATTCAGTAAGGGACCCACACTTTCCATGGTTTTCCTTTTGTTGCTGATATACTTGTAGAAACCCTTCTTGTTACCCTTCACACCTCCAGTTGCACTTTGGCCTTCCCAGTTCCATCCGTACATGACCAAGCAATGGTCTTATATTGTTCCCTAGTCATTTGTCTAAGTTTCCACTTCTTGTAAGCTTCATTTCTGCGTTTTAGCTCACTGAAGAGTTCCCTGCTAAGCCAAGCTGGTTTTCTGCCATACTTACTAGTCTTCCTGCGCATTGGGCTGATTTGTTCCTGCACCCTCAGTAAGGTTTCTTTAAAATACAACCAGCTCTCAAGGATCCCTTCCCCCCACCTCAAACTGGGCTCCTAGGAGATCCTGCCTATGAGTTCCCTGAAGGAGTCAAAGTCTGCTTTTCTGAAGTCCAGGGTCCTTACTCTGATGCTCTTCTTCTCTTATCTGGGTGCAAAATGCCAACTTACTGTATTAAGCAATTCTATTCAAGTAATCCAATGCTAAACATTGTAATAGTCTGGTATGTCCGTTTATAGCAAGTCAGCACATTAGCCTCAGATTTTTTTAAACTTTTTATGAGTAGCTAGGAAGTATAAGCTTGATACGAACAAAACTTATTCCACTGAAATCTGTCGGTAAATTTAGGTATATGAAGAAGCAGAAATACTTTATCTGTACTTCTCTGAAGAGGACAGGTGAGAAAGGTACAGAAAAGTACTACTATTTTGTGTAATAAATCTAATATTATGTGAAGGAACAATTAAAGATACTTCTTGATGGTGATTCCCCTTACTAGCCTAATACCAAATGGAAGGTACAAGAAGAAAGTATTTATTAAAATGGAACTTTTATTAATTAAAAGTCCAAGTAAGCACAGAATCAAATGATTAATGAGGAATAAACATTTTAAAAATTTAAGGTTTTTATGGAAAGTGAATAATTAAAATTGAGCTGTTTTGGCCTACTTTTAATAATATAAATTTTAAAGTATTGATATAAATATATAATAGAGCATGTTTTTATTTTGTAAAAGTAAAGCAATTAAAAGCAGTCATTAAACACAGTTTTGCTGGATTGTGCATAGAGGAAAATCTGAAGCTGCAGTATGCCCTGTAAACCACCTGCCTCAGGAAAGGCTGTGCATTATAGGATCACTGCATGCTTTTTAAGCCCAGGGTTTATCAGACAGTTATATTTTTAATGCTAGACATTAAAAAAAAAAGAAAAGATATAAAAGCAGAATCTTGGGCCAGTAGTAACATTTCTGTTTGTTGGTCATCTTCACCAGAGTCACTTTTAAAGCTCACACTGAAATGAGATGATTATTCTCTTTAAGTGGTTTGGGGGGAAAAAAGCGTCTTTTTTTGCTAAGCGTAGCATGTCACCCAGCATATTGATGGTATTAAAGAGAATCTATGTAAAGTTTGGACTACAACTGATGAAGACAAATAAATGTCAATTTTGAAACTCA